TTATTTCTAGCCTGGATCAACTCCCCGCTCCAATTACCCACTATGCCCACAAATAACTCTGGCAGGGAGTAAGCATCCCAAAGAAAGTTGAAAGGGAAAGGAAAGAAGTGCTGAAGCTTGCACTGTGGTCAAGTAGCTGTGCCATAGCTTTATTGCCAAGCTAGAAAATTTATCCCAGTAGAAACAAAATCAATAAAGCACGTTGGTGCAAACTCGTAATATACAAGTGTTTAAACAGATTTAACTTAACATAAACAAGAGTACATTTTGTGCTATGTTTAAACAGATTTAATTAAAATTCATCTACTCATTTCAACGCAGTCAGAGCAAAATGATCACTCTTTTACACTGTGTTGCAAAGAATTCATTCTACTGCATAATTATGTCTCTGCATGTTTCTGATCTTCAGTATTTAAATGATAATTCAAAGCCCCCTTTATAAAACTTTTTAAGATCTGGATTGTCTAAGGTTGCCCTGTTTCAAACATTCAATTTTTCCTCAGAAACTAAACATTTATCTGTCACGTCTGCACAACAACAAAATTTCCTATTCTTGGAGCTGTGGTTAAATGACTTAGACCCAGCCTTCCTCTCCCCATCCCCTCCCACACCTTTCCTTTAAATTTCAATAGTTTTAAAGAATTGTCATGGCAATAAGCCTCTGCTAGAAAACGGTGGGGACTGAAATTTCCCTTTATTCCACAGCAGATTTGCCTTCAATATGTCAAAATTCAGACAGTGTGTGCCTGTGCGTCTGATGTTGATAGACCCCATAAGCAGTCCTGAATCCATTTTCAATTTTAACTCTGCTGACTGGACTAGCAAGTCCAAGACAAAATATTAACTGTAACCCTTTACTCAATTCTGAATTTTAATACATTTTTCTGGTCATGAACCTTGGGAAATATGGAAATATGAAGCTGCGACAACATCATATCAGAAGCTTTGACTATTTAACTCAAATTAGTTAGTTATAACTTCGGAAGCATCCTCTTTTATTTTCGTTTTGCTCTGATTTTATGTCAATGAAATAAGTTGTTGTTATTGTCTTTATTAAGTAATTGCTAAGATTGTGAAATGCTTATTTGTAGTATTAAGGTTTCCTCCAGCTTTCAATCATCGTAAGACATTATTAATAGCTTTGGAAATGTTCTTCATAAATTTTGGACTGTTTTGTGATGGCTAGTGTTTCATATCATAGGTCAAATTTAGCCCTGTCACAACCACCCAGCACCCTGTGTTCTAGGATTAGGTGTCCAGCTGTGCATGTTGCTGGAAGAGACAATTTCCTCTCACCTGTTTACCTGTAACTGTGTTTGCATGGTGGTTAAGGTTAAAGCAGATAGATATAAACCTGAATCTTGTTTAAGGCAAATCAGGTGTATAAAAGCACTAGATTCTCAAGGGTATGAAGAGAGCACAAGGGTTATCTAAAATGATTACACCCTTGCTCTTGTTGCCTGGGGAAATCCAACAACTATTCAGAGAGACCATCTACCTTTGGTAGTTTACATTTATTTTTTGTGCTGATTCACTGTATCGTAACTTCCAGCAATCGAATCAGCTTAATTGGGTCCAAAAAATGAAGATTTCCATAGACATTTTCAAAAGTGGTTTGAATAAAATAAGTAGCCACATTTCATCTGATGTTCATATGATTAAATGTCCTTGTAGCTACAATAATGGAGATCTTCCAGAGAAAGAAAAAGTACTAGGAAAAAAAACAAGAGTTTTAGATAAGTTTTGGGATGCTGTTCTGTGTGTAAGAAGAGTGCAGAAACAGGGCTGGCAGGAGCAACAAGCTATTGTGAAATCAGCCAGTATCTTGCGAACTATGCAAGTTGGTAGCACAAACTAAAAGTATTCTGCAAAGAGCAGCCGGAGAATCCTTGAGAGAGCTGTGAAAATGTCAGGCTTTTTCCTTTGGAGAGCCCACTGGGAGAAGCACATTTCCACTGAATATTCAATCTCTCCTTTGCATCTCTGCTGTCCTAAGGGCAAGCTGCAACCACAAGAAACAACTTGGCAGAGGAGCTGCATGCAATAGGCAGTGCGTTAATCATTGAGGCGATGAGTGGAGAGAAGATGTAGTAATTACTGACCTATCAAGTGCTCAGGTGAAGTGTAGGAGTGGACTTGCACGGGTGTTGGTATTCAAGTCTGAAAAACTAGGATAGAACTGGTAGGAAGTGATAATTTTTTCTGCGCCTGTGGAATACTGGTCTTTCAGATGTACTTTTATGGTGAAACTATGAAGCTCAAAGTTCTGTAAGTTACTGAGGCAACTTTTCAGATTAAATAAAAAAAAATAGTCCTTTTTTAAAGGGAAAAAAAGGACTTATAAGCCCTTTAGACTTGTCTTTTGTCTTAACCACAAACAGCTGGAAATTTACACAGAACAGCGACAATAGGAAGAAACTCATTTTAATGGAATGTCTGTTCTGCAGATTGACAGAATAAGGATGAAAATACAGAAAAGCCAAGTTTTCCAAAATGACTTACGGTCATCAGAGTTCCTGTATGATGGCTTTCAGCATGAGACTCCTCTATACCAATGCTCATTCTCCCTGCGAAATGAAAGCCTTCTCAAATCTCTTGCATAGGGCTCTGCATGTGTTCTAGTACATTGAAATGGTACTGTGGTGAGTAAGTAATGCCTTCTGGTTTTTTTATAAGCATGACTTTAACAGCACTGAATAGACACATATAATGGTTCAGATTGGTGGCTGAAATGGAAAATTCTAGGACATATAGCAAAATCTTACTCATAGGCAACATATTTTTCTAATGCATGTACCAAAAAGTGCACCCCCATGAAATGTGAGGTGTTACTCATGATTCATTTTGAAACTCTAGTTGAAATGGCTGCATAATGCACGATTTTTAGACTATTTGTGGGATAGCTTAAAGACTAGTAACCTCAATAACACTGACACATTACAGGAAACTTGATGTGATACATTACAGGAAACCTGATGCATGCTCAGCCAAAGACTTTGATTTAATCTGGAATCTTTTTGGAAAGCAAAGGGGAGGAAATATGTCCGAGTGCTGTAACACAGCCTCTGCTGGCACGAACTTGTGATGGGAGCACCAGTCGCTATGGCTTTATAAGATTTTCAAGAATATAACAATATTAAGTATTTGTAAGACAGTTGAAACTCCCTGTTGCAGTCTTACTAGTGAAAGCACTTTACTTAGTGTTAAGATTCAGGATGTCTACCTCCTCAAATGGTAATATGAGGTAATCATTAAAACACTGGTAAGAACTGAATACTGTTGCCAGACATAATTTTGAAGGCATGTGGTATGGTGAATTGAAACTCTGTAGATTTAAATTATCTTACCAGCTTTTTTCATAACTTTACCTGCTGAAACAATAAATTTAGCACCATGGGCTGATTTTTTTCCATGTTATACCTCTGTGGGGAGGTATAGCCATCTATCAGTTCTTGGAACTCTATAGCTTCTGAAAAAAAAAAAAAGAAGAGAATTTGTCCATGGTAAGTACACTCATAAGTGTTTATTTACAAGGTCTAGAGCTTCATCCTTCTGAAATAAGATGATGAATATTGGAGGGAATGCAGCTCTAATTTCGTTTTAGACAGCCTCATGAAAGCTTGCTTAATCTATGCAAGGTATAAGGCTTTGGAGAAAAATGAAATAAATTCTTATGCACACACTGAAAGGAAAGATTGCCAATTTCATCTCTCCAAAGACACTTTCTTTCATTGCACATACTCAGTTCCATCACAGATCCAATCTACAACCAACCCATGAAGGCTTCATCTCCACAGATATCTCCAAACACAGGAGACTTATAACTGTAGTCTAGGAGCTGGGTGACCCCTTTCCAAGGTTTCAGCATAACCCTACCCAAACTGTGTAGATAAGCAGTATGAGGTTGTTTGATATAACTACAGAAAGATGAGCAGGGACGACGAAAGAAAAGCAGTGTCAGAGGTGATCACAGGGTTGTAGGATGGATCACTCTGGGAGTATGGGAGCTGGCATTAAAAACTGAGTTTGAGGAATGGCATGATATGAAAATGGAAGAGAGCAATATTTGAAAATTATTTCATATTTTGTGTCTCTGATTTTCCAATTTTAACATTTGCTTAATATTAATATAGAATTTGAAGTCATTCAAGGCGGTATAAATTGATATACAAGCTTTCATACATAAACAACAGCTGGAATAGAGCTGCCTTTACGATGTCTAGGCATCAGATATTTAGCTCTGAGTGAGACTGGGTATTTCCAGAGTGGGATTCATCTGGTTTGTCCTAAACTTGAGATGAATGAGCTGAGTGAATATATTTCTGACTTTCCACTAGAGAAGCTGACTAGTTCATATTTAGACACTAAACTATCAGAAGTCTGAAGCAAAGTAAGAATAGCTTGTGGATTTTGCCTGCAAAACAATGTCCAGCAGGAACTGAGCAGAAATTATGTTTGCATACCTGTGAGTAGGTTTTGATTCTGTACTTAAAAATATAGTCCCAAGGTCATTATAAGCCATACAAACACGCCCACATACAGATACACTGAAGCCACACTATGAAATGTGTTTTATTAGAATAAATTGACATTAACATTAACTGTTAGGATAGGGTTTCTATTGTGTCAACCATGTTATTTTAATACAGGTTTAGCAACTTTTGGAGCTGTCCATTCCTCCTAAAATAAAGTGTTGCAAAGAAAGAAACAGGAGGTTTCTTTGCCAAGAGGGAGAGAATTCCCATAATCTTGGGATCAATCACTGAATTCATCCAGTCCAGTATTTGAGCATGCAGCAAAGTAAAAAAGATGGAAAGCAGGTTAAATACAGCTTAGAGAATTGTTAATATTTATTTCCCACTTCACTATACTGTTACGTCACTTCTGTGCAAAAAGATAAATGCTTCAAATCATCAACTGACAAGACAAAGGGAAGTCAAAAGCAGGTGAAAGATGCTAAGAAAGGCTAAAGAAGTGAAGTCTGATTCTTGCTTTGGAACATGAAGTTTAGCACTTTATACCACTGTGCTCTGTATATCCTGAGTCTGGCACTGCTTGTAAGTAATTGCATGAAAAAAAGCTTTTAATTTATTGTTTTTCGATAGTTGTTAGTTTTCTTCTTGGAGCAGATGGTCAGAGGTTTACTTTTTGCATGAGTATCTCTTTATTTGCTTTGGATTCCAGTTAAACAAGGGAAGATGCTATGAAAAGTGTGAACAGTGGCAGAAGGGACACACATTGTAGGAACCAAATATCAATGCATTTCACTGCTTTCTTACCACATGCTCCCTAAGGAGAAACAACATAATTGGCAGAATCCCTCCTTTTTGTGTCTCGGCTTTAAAAGATAAGGACAAAGCAGAAAACAGAGGAAAACTGTTACGTAAAAGCATCTGAGTTTTGCTTAAGAGTTTTTTTAAATTTCAGAGTAAGCAGTCTTATTAGTTACAATTTCAGCTGCCTTGTTTATAGCATTAATGTTATTTAATATGTGAGAAGCTGGGATGCTACAGGTAACAAATGAGTTGAATCAGCAGGGGTACTTATGGCAGAATCAGAAATATCCAAATGCATTAAAAAGCATAGAGGTCTTGCTGATATTTTGCTTTGGACAAAGATTAGTAAACCATCATTCAGAATCACAGAGATAACAGGAAAGGTCTGTGAAAAGTGGGGGAAGGATATTTTCTTTGCTTTTGAGAGTAATTCTATTTTGAGCATCTTCCTTTTGTGATCCCTTTGCTATATCCTTTCCTCTTTCCTGGGAATCTTTTAGCTGAAGAAGCATTTCATGAGCACAGCAGCTTGGTTTTGTGGGTCAAGAGAAATAAAACACTGTGAAATGACTAAAAATACTTTTTGCTGATGTGAAGCTATGATTCCTTTGTATCATCTGTGTGACAAACTCCACTTCCCTCTAGTGGAAGCTGATAAGTATAATTGCTCATAAGTAGAATATCAGATCCAGTCCTAATAACTGTATAACTGAAGGTCTCCATAAGAACTTGAGCCATTTACCCAAGAGACATAGCACCTTCTATAGAATTGGATTGGTTATAACACAATTATGCACTGATCAAAACCAAGTTTATGTGTAAATGTATAATAAAATTCTCCCGGAGTGTGTTACATAACTTTTTATAATAGAGGATAGGTAAACAACTCTCATTTGAGTAGAAAATCGTGGGAAAACTGCCCTGTTTTCATTGTTGGTATATCTTAATAATACACTTTCCCTGGAAAAGCTGAACTTTTGGAGAAGCTTTAAATGTGAAAAAGGCTGACTTGCAGCTTCATAGATCATGATTTTTTTCCTGCCATTGCTTGTATGGTGCCTACTGTAATGTGAAAAGAATGGAAATATTAACCTATTCTGATGTATACGGGAGAAAATGGAGGAAGAGCATCATTCTAGATGATCTTTTGAGGTCCCTTCCAACCCTTGGGATTCTGGGATTCTGTGATTCAGATTTTGTATGCCATTATGAAAACAATGAGAATAATAAAAAAAATAGAAGTTTACTTTCTTACGTGTGCATTTCATGTCCCTCTTTAGAGCCTGATGTGGAAGAGGGGTTTCTCTTGTTTTTGTTGCTGATTGTTTCCTTTTTATTATTATTTTTATCACATTAAGAAGACTTTCAGTAGAAGCCTTCTGACAAGGGCTGATTTTTGGCAGTTATGCTAATTCACAGCTCCGTTTAATACATTAACTGATGGGTACAACAACTGCAAATCCACATTCTATTTGGAACTTATCAGTGTTCATTTTAATTGTAATTTAGTTTTTCTCATTAGCAAGAAAATTTGTATATATTCAAGAGGACAACCTGGAATATTAGCTATGGGCCTCTCAAAAAGATTTTCTATTTTGGCTCCTGTTGTGCAATTCCTATAATTTTTGCCCTTTTAAAATTTTACTGATGTGGCAAACAAAAAGATTTTTATGGAGCTTCATTTCTTTATGGATCCTACAAACCAGAAACACTTGTTTTATTATCAGCTGAGCTACAAGGCAAAATAGCTCTGCTATAATGATCTGTGCACAAACCTGCACAATGTCAGTAGCCGTAATAAGTGGTATTCATCTAACTCAGTTCTGAAGACCAAATTTAAAAGTAACCATGAATTTAACAGTCAGGGGAATCCTAATGAATTGAGTCTAAACCATAGCTCATTCCATGCAGAACTACATGTATGAAATAATTCAACTGATCTATGCACAAAAATGCTAGTTTCTCTCAGTTATCCTCATGAAAGGAACCTGAGATGACTAGATCAGATAATAATGCCTCTGTAGATGTAGACACCAAAGGGAGCTAAATCACAGACATTTATTCTTGTTTTAAAGAATGTCTCATACCTCTATCCCATTATTTGATGATTCCATAAATGAGCAGAAGGGAAAGAGGTAGAAAATGAGATTAAACAAGTAAGTCTATAGATGTTTTCAGAGTAAGCTGGAACCTGATTATATACCTTGTTTGGGAATACTATTCAGAACTGTTTGGAAAATGTAAGGGTCTGATAGATGCAGTCAAATACTCTAGGGGGCTGAATATCTCTAGAACACAGCCTAGTAGTAGAATAAATCTTTTTAGTTTATTTTTCCTGAGTTTCTGTCATAGCAGATCTCTCACTCAGTGTTTATTCAAGCAGCAGTTAGTTCTGACTTGAATATAAACTGTGAGAGGATCTCTTAAGGTCAGGCCTTCCTGAAGGGCGAGGTAATAATTTAAATACCCGCCACTTGATCAGTCTCATTTTTCCATTTGAGATGCATGTGGTAAAGTGTCTTCACAAGTCTGGAGACTTAAAAAAGAAAAAGAAAAAAGGGTTTCCTGGCCTGGTGAATAAGCCAAACAAGCTTTCCTCTTGCCATGAACATTTCAGTAACCTCGAGAGTTTTCATAGGCATAACCTAGTCATTTTTCTGCCAGGAGAAATAATTTAGGACTGTACAAATGGGTACACTTCCTGCCTACTGAGGTTTTTCTGGGCACAGTTTGCTGAACCAAGGGCATGTTGTAAAATATTTTTTCAGTAAATTGGTTGACTGTTTTTTCTACTGACTAATAAAGCTATTTTTTTAAATAGCTACCGTACATGATATGTGGTGAGCTTTTCAGCATAGATGAATTTCATTGTCCAGGGTGAGTATAAGAGAGAAGAATATGTTTGCATCAGAAGAGATATCAAGTGGTCAATGACATTCAAAACAGATGCTAATATTCTGTCATCCTGTCTACAATTGCACATTTTAGCGGAGTTATTGGGCTCCCTATGCTATCTGCTTTTACTGATCAGGGCTGACACCACTGAGGCATTCCACACAGCATATCTCCATCTCCTGGGGCTAAGGCAATGATTGACCTCTGTTGTATCCATTCATAGTTACCTTCCTCTCAAACACCAAACTTTGTGCAGCCTTGAGCATGGGAACCTGCTTTTCATTGCTGCCTTAACTGCAAACCGACTGTCTGTAAGTTTGGCAGAAAAAAACAAGTCCTACTAAAAGTGTATTAAATGGGATGCAGACTATGTCCTTGAAGGGCATACATGCGGACACATGCCATTTTCAGGTGCAAGGCTCCAAACCCCATAAGGCTGTACAATTAATCCAGTATTGCCCAGAAGCCTGAGAGCCTCGATTTTTTAGACAATATTCAGTCCAAATGCTCTGCAGACCAACGTGAGATATGGACATTAACATGTAGGGGAAACACCAGATTATTGGAATGGATACAATCTGCCCTTTGAATGAACTGAAAGACAGGTATTTATTTTTCAAATTCCCTGAATATTAATCATCCCTAGGTGGAATAAAACTGAGCCATATGCTAGCCACCTGTTCACAATGCAAGTCTCATCCTGAGTTTATTTTCTGCTGTGTGTATCTATGTCTCTATATCCATATTCACACATACAGAGCACACTGGCACCAATTGCCAGGGTGTAGAGCTAAGATGAGAGTGTGTCTGATGACAACTGGCCTTCTGGGACTGGGGACAATGTCTACAGTTGTAGAAAGCATATATTTCTTTCTTTGTGAAAAATAGACACATCTACTTCTGCATAGTGGGTATATCAGTTGTGGTGTGCATCAGCCCACTGCAGAATTTGTTCTTTGGTCAAAGTATTTTGGTGGCCAAGGTACTTTAGATGCCTCCTAATTCTATTGTGGTGTCCATCTAAGCACAAGTCTGAATAAGGACTGAAGCAACTAAAAGTTTCTTACTGTTAAAACATTGAGTGCCATTTTTTTTCTTTATACCAGCATACCAAACCAACAAAGGCTTTGGTGGAGAGGTTTCTTTCAAAGGAAGGAATTTTGCCTCCCGCCCTCTGTAAAGAAAAACAGATGGCAGAAGGGAGAGAACAGATTCCCTCTTTTTGGGAAGAAGAGCTCATTTAGAAGACAATTTTGCAGTAATTGTGTGTGGTTTCAAGATATTTCTTGAAAGGTTGGAAGGGGCATGTCTATGCTGAGGACCAGGTGGGCTCTGCAGTATGCCCTTTAATGCCAGGCTTTTTATTGTTAAGAAAAGGAGCCTCCCCAAGTGCATACTGCCTCCCTGAGCCCAGATTTATCAGGGCTAAAGTTAGGGTGCAAACAAATCCTGCTCTCAAATACAGGCCCTAGCAAAGATTCCTTTCCTTATAACATAGAAACAGAATCTTACAAACTTCCATGTACAGAGCTGTAGCTACCATCTTCTGACAGCTATACTACCAAATAATTTACTCTTATGTAAAGTAGCACAGCTCAACTGCCTTTGACAGAGTTCAGCTGGGCTCATCTGCAAAACCACTGCAATCTGTGCAGAGACAGTGCCACCCTTTGACTGCTGAACTCAAAACTAGTGTTCTATGTCTTTAACACAGCCCTGTTACTTGCAAAATTTGGTCCAGAGATAAAGGCTGGGCTCAACCCCTTCTTATTAATCATCTGAAACTCCTCTCTCTGTAGGTTGCTGGGAATGTCCACCCAGAATGTGATTTTATGACAGAGCTGAAGAAAAAGGAGGCTGAATGTCTAGAGGACCCAGAAGAGCATGGAAATGCAACATCAGCAGGTATCGATGTGTGAGAGAATAAAACTGAGAGAGAAACAACACCTTACCAGAGTCAGAAGACAACCATGCTGCCAATGTGTATGTCCAAGTGTTTTACTTCTTGTCCCATATCCTTGTCCTCTGGCCAGCTTTCTTCCGTCTACTCCCAGTCATCATTCACTTTCAAATCTTTTTCTGAACATTTTTTTTCAAAATCAAAAATGGATGGTCAATCCATATGAGTGAATCCTTGCACCCTTTTCCTATTCCTTTCCCAACTGGATGCTATCATGGCATCACACTTGCTCTGTGAGGGCAAGTGGATCTTTAAAAATAGTGTAACCCCTTAACAAATACTGTCATGTGGCCTTTCTTCCAGCAACTTTTGTCCCACAATACATTTCCACTTGTTGCATTATGTATGAAAACCCACCACATTCTTACACAAGGGGTCTAACTAAAGCAGATTAAATAGTCCCCTGGATGTGTTTGTTTCTCAATATAGAATCAAAATTGTGGCTAAATTATTTTTATAAAATATGTAAGGGGTGGAATGTCAAGGTTTAAAAAGGTTTGGGTTTTTATTATACTCAAATATAATTATGTTCAAAAATAAATTTTGCTGTCTACCTGAGGTTGCAAGAGAGCTTGGGACAAATTACTGTGCTGGCCAGAGGCAGATGCTGGAGACACTCTTGCCTTACCATGTCCAAACATCCTCTTTCACTTCATGAAGGATCCAGGTGAGGTACTATCATGGATGTACTCCTAATATTGTGTTGCATGTCTGGCAAAAGCATTTCTAAAAATGGTGGGTGAAGGCAAAGAATTGCAAGTTCCTGATCTCTATTTGGATCAGAACATTACTGCAAAGATTTCAGTAGGATCTGAAGGAGCTTATCAGTTCTTTTCATATTTTAACTGTATACATAACTGGATACAATCACAGTCTGTGATGAGGTTGTGAGCCAAAGAAACTGAAATCAATAAAGTGATTTCTATTGGTTTCCGTAGACTTTGGGATCAGCTTCTTGCACGAGTTCTCCACAGATCTTGTACAGCGGTAGTTTAAGTCAGAACTTAAGCATAGGGCTTTATGAAATTTATGCTCTGATTAGTGTGGGATGAAATGAAAGGCAGAAGAAAGAATAATGTGATTGTTCTTTAAAACCAAGCAGATACAAAGCAGAATTTTGTCATTGAAATAGCATATGTGTTAGGTCAAATGCAAGACTGCAAACTAATGCTCTTGTGACTGCTTACTGTCTGGGTGAATACGGCTAGGAGCAAACTGAAAGCCCATAACAAGGAAACCATCTTCCAGGAATAACCTAGATTTGGCAGTTCCACAAGGAAAAGAAACTGCAAAGCCCAACCTCTGCCTCACCCAGCACATGCTAGTTATAAAAGAGGGATAAGGAAAATCCTTTTCATCTGTGCAGATTCATTTCCTGCCCTGAGATTCTTTGACTTACCCTTCATCTGACTCATTAATCTTTTTATGGAAATATGCTATCCTCGTAGAACAAACTGCTTATTCCATCCTCTCATCTTCAAAGAAAGGGTAAGCCCCAAAGAAGGTGGGAGTGAGAAAGGATACATTAGAGGGTGAGTGCTGAAAAAAGCAGAATTCTGATGGAGCAGTGCTGCCCAATCTTGTTAAGTAGACATCTTTGCCTCTGATGTGATTTCTTTTTCATTCCTTCCAACTTCTACTTCTGCTACCTCATTTCTCTCTGTTCTTCCCATTGCTTGTCTCCAGATAAATTAAATAAATTTCTTTCTGACTACCTGGATGTACACATGCAAAATGTCCATCAACTCAGTGAGACACTAATGGAGATGATCCTTTCCTCCTGGTATACCCTTCATAAGAGCAAAAGATCTTCTAACTTTTTTTGTTTTCTGTGTTGTGTGGGTCTTTGTCAGAAAAAATAAGTGTTTCTGTTTCAGCTGGGATAGTAAAAAGGAACTGCACAAAGAAAGGCTGGTCTGACCCATTCCCTCCCTATCATATCGCTTGTCCAGTAGAAGAAGAAATTCCACTTGACAAAGTAAGTTTAATTAAATAAATATATGCAAATGGTGTGCTGATGTTAAAGGATTCCTTTCTATTCCTGGAGACCACTGTGGAGGGATATTTAGCTAAAGTTGAAATTTCTTATCAAGTGTGGAATGCAATCATAATTTTTGTCTAGTTACTTTTTTTTTGGAGAATTACTAAGGATATTTTATTATTCAGGAGTACTACTGTAACAAAAATTAAGCCAGCTGCAAATCCCATGCCATCATGCAGTACTATTGAACTTGCTTGCAGCTATAACAGCTAGAGATATATCACAAAATGAAAATATGATTTCAATAATACCAGTCAGCAAGATGATTTTGTGGCATCACAACATCAGTACAGCAAAGGTGCTGCTATAACACCACTATTTCAAACTCGGAAATATCTCAGGATGAAAGCGATTTCTGGTTTCTCATCCTGCCTAGCATAAAATACCTAATGCAACAAGGAAAAGAAAAACAACAACACCTCTGTAATGCATTCAGAATTTGACATATTTCTTCAGCTAGGTTTGCACAATTGTTGATATTTAGAGGTTATATGTACAGGAAAATATTGTGCTTGATCTCTCATAAGGATACAAACATATTGTATAGAACATATTGTATAGATGTACTTAGCATCCTGTAACTCCTCTTCCAAAGAAAAAAATAGACTAGGGCTAGTCAGAAATGCACACAACATGAGTGTAGGATCCTCAACCCCAAAGGTCTTGCTCTGCTAAAGCAGACCTATCAACCTACACTTCTAAAGGCAGGTGTGGTGACAGAACCTTTTACTTGCTGGCAGAAAATGATAAGGTCTCCTTTTACAGTGAGTTGTATTGTCTTCTGTGAGTGCTTGTCTGCATTCATTAACTAGAAAAGAAACAAAACAAGAAGGAACAGGTTTGTGTTAACAATTAAACAGTACAGTTCTGTGGCCATGCTCTCATACAGCTTGTTTTACTATAAACTCATCTGCTCATACTTGGGCAGCAAACTTTTAAGCACCTAAATAAATGAAATTAATCCTACATCATACCAGACTTAGAATGCCTTAAGTTATACTTACAGCTCAAAATGAGTATCTGCCCTTCCCCACAGGGAACTGTACCAACACACTGCATAGCTGCACAGAATTTAGGATATAAAAACATTGAAACAGGACCTACGAGAGAGACCATGTTAGGTTTAAGGGAAAGATTTGCAGCCTAAAGCCTATTCCTTCTATTTTAAAATCATAGAATAGTTAGGGTTGGAAAGGACCTTAAGATCATCAAGTTCCAACCCCCCTGCCATGGGCAGGGACACCTCACACTAAACCATATCACCCAAGGCTTCATCCAACCTGGGCCTGAACACTGACAGGGATGGAGCATTCACAACCTCCCTGGGCAACCCGTTCCAGTGCCTCACCACCCTAACAGGAAAGAATTTCCTCCTTATATCCAATCTAAACTTCCCCTGTTTAAGTTTTAACCCGTTACCCCTTGTCCTGTCACTACAGTCCCTAATGAAGAGTCCCTCCCCGGCATCCCTATAGGCCTCCTTCAGATACTGGAAGGCTGCTATGAGGTCTCCATGCAGCCTTCTCTTCTCCAGGCTGAACAGCCCCAAGTTTCTCAGTTGATCTTCATATGGGAGGTGCTTCAGTCCCCTGATCATTCTTGTGGCCCTCCTCTGGACTTGTTCCAACAGTTCCATGTCCTTTTTATGTTGAGGACACCAGAACTGCACACAATACTCCAGGTGAGGTCTCACAAGAGCAGAGTAGAGGGGCAGGATCACCTCCTTCGACCTGCTGGTCACGCTCCTTTTGATGCAGCCCAGGATACGGTTGGCTTTCTGGGCTGCAAGCACCCAAGTGCTGGCTCACGTTCATTTTCTCATCGACCAGCACCCCCAAGTCCTTTTCCTCAGGGCTGCTCTGAATCTCTTCTTTGCTCAGCCTCTAGCTGTGCCTGGGATTGCTCCGACATTTTCTTCTTCCATGTGTAATAATTGAAGTCAGTTTATTTTCACTCAGCGATCATGTCTGACAGAGTTGCCATTTAAATTGAAACGGATTTTGATTGACATTCTGACTGAGTAACAATTGAGCTTGGCAGCAAGAAAAAAGAGTGAAAAAAAAGACCAACACCATGAAAAAACACAGTTCAGAACACACAAACACACACACACACACACACACACACACACACAAAGAAAAAAAAAAAAGGAAAGGAAAGGGAGAATAAATGGCAAAACATAAATAAGGAAGCAGAGTGAAGAAATTTGGAGACACATAAGGAAAGGCTGAAAGAATTCTGTATTCATCATGCAGACAGCTGCCAGAAAGATCGTCCTGTTACTGCTGTGGAGAAAACATGGTATAAAATGCAGTGCTTATAAAAATGCATAAGAATTTTTACAATGCCTTCTTGCTTTTTTAAGGTTTTATGAATGAGCTTCAAACCACCCTGATTAATACATGTTTCTTTACCAGACTAGGCTATGGGATGGGTCTTCAGAAAAGAAACAATGAGTAATTTCAGTTGAATTGTGCTGTGGGGTTAAAAGGCAAAAAAAACGGGGAGTCAGGAATGTGAGCAGATTGGAAGCACTGAACAAAGCAAAACTACCAGAAACTGTAAAACAGCTGTCATTTAGCTGCAAGCTATGTGACAAATAATTTTATTCTTTTATAGAAATCCTACTTTTCTACTATAAAGATCATCTACACTGTAGGGTACAGTGTATCTATCACCTCACTCATTATTGCCGTGACAGTTCTTATTGCATTCAGGTACGTAAGGTTATTCTCTAACCTAGATTCTTTTAACAGTTCTTAGTATCTTGGGCTATGTGAGACAGCATTAGACATAACAAAGTAATATTTATAGGTATTCAGAAGAATAAAAATAAAATATTCTGTCCATATTGATTCAAATATATCAAATTGAGGCTAGAATCAAAAAGTGACCAGGCATAGGAAGAAGAACAGGGAAATAAACTCTTACTGCCTATTGGCAACTCAGTTTGATACTAAATAAGCGGTAGTTATTTTTTCTTGCTTTAGTGGAATGAATGTTTTACAAAACTATGTGTGTTTGCTTTTTATGGCTTCAGTGAATTTTATATTAAGAAGAAGAATATACACAAATAACTTGATTCTGAATAAATGTTCCTACAGCACTGCATACACTGAAATATTTACAACCAAAGATATATTTTGAAAGTCAGGCACTCTACATTTGGAAAGATTTCTTTCCAGCTACTAGATATTTTCAGATATAACTTAGGTTGTCTAGAGTAAAACAAATGCATTATTTTCCCATTTAATGTATATTTGTTATTTACTGCCATATAGGATTTATTTTATTAATCTATGTTTATTTCTTGTATATCCTCAAGACAAAAAAGAACAGTGTATTATGCTGTGAGAGTCATGTTTCTCTGGGGAAAGTTTCTTGACCTCTGCTGGTTCCTAGTTCATGTCTGGAAGGGAACAGATACATTTATTGACATCCATTCTGACCTCAGGGAAACAAACCAGCCTAAATGAGGGGAAAGAAAGAAACAATGGGCATAAAGAGACTTATCAATATTGAGGAAAAAGTTATAGTTAACAATGGGGTTGGCATTTGAGTTCAGTAATAAAATTCTGCACACTCAAAGTGAGCTTTAAGATTAGGTGATTACTGAGATTACTGGATCTGGATGCCATTCAGCTTTTAAAGGAACTCTTTGCTTATGAGGTAAAATCTTCAGCTTCAAAGGAAAATATAAAGTTGATGCTTTATAACTCCTCCAAGAGCTTGCATTTAATAAGAGTAAAAAACTAATCTGACTGAATGGAGAATGTAAAGTAGATGTGACAAATTGTTTTAAAGCTCTCATCTGCATTCATTTAATTTGTAAGAGTAACTCTGGAGAACTAAGGAAGAATTTTTTATTTCTGAATATAAGGCTGCCTACACGGGTTTAATGCAGTTTAACTCACCCACAGCATAAGGTGTAGAAAATCTTGCTAAGTTTTACTCTGTTCATTGAGAAAACTGTTTAGTTCGGGATATCTCTGCATGCTTGCTCTTGGGAGTGGTTTAGAAACAGTCAGAACTGTAGCAGTAAAGATCATTCCTCAAATGCAGGTTTCTCTTGGCCCAAAATTAATGCCAGCCGAGGACTGGCTCAGGGATACTAAGCACAAACTAAAACTGAGATTCCTGGAATTTGGTAGCAACATCACCAGATCACAACCTAATAGCGAAGTTGGTTAAGATGTGAGACTGTGAGTGAATTGCTTTACATGAGGAAGGTTTCCAACTCGTCCTGCCTGTAAAGACAGCTTAGTGGATGAACGTGTACTTTCTATACATGCCTGCAAGTAACTGAGATTAAACAAGAGCTTATTGCATATTTTAATTACTGCCAGCGCAAGTCAGTTAATTGATTCAGAAGGACCTCTCCTTTTCTTGCAGGAGGCTTCGCTGTCCCAGAAATTATATCCATGTACAGCTCTTTTTTACTTTTATCTTGAAAACTATTGCCATCTTCATTAAGGATGCTGTCCTTTTCCAAGAGGAAGACATTGATCATTGCAGCTTCTCTACAGTAAGCATATGAAAAGCAGGATACTGTGGTACTTGATGTTTTTGCATACGGTCTATACATGGTTTCACTTTTCATGGCTTTTTCTACTTACCTTTTTTTCCTTCTAACCAGATAATGAAAATAATACAATACTTTTATTCAGTATGTTTCACCTCCATAAGTGTGTACCTCATGTCCTTCAGTGTTCTGAATGCATCAATTTATAATCCTGTAGTTCTTTACATCAGACAGATTTTGCCATAGAAAAAAGTAGTATCATTACACTGTTCCACTTCCATAACTTAAAGCTTAAAACTGGCTATCTCTGAGTACCTCATAGCACGAGTTTTAAGAGATGATGCTTCTGGAAACGTTTGATTTCATGTTCTGAATAAAAACTCTGAATTATAAACTGAAAAACATGCAAGGCACTAGGCTATCAACTTAGCTTTGATCCAGCCACAGATACTGGCAATGGTTTTCAAACAAAGGTTTATGGGATGATTTTTCTACATTCACAAAAATTTAGAACTGAGCATAAGTAAGAAAGTGGGTCCTTGAACATTTGTTGAAGGCCCATGGAGTATTTGTCTCTACTCACACAAGGTACACTGGAGGCAGTGCATTCATGGGAGAAATCACATGCTATATCTCTAACATAGAGACACAAAGCAAAATGGAGATTCATAGGTATTATTATGGTTAAAGCCTTACTTTTCAGAAAATCATTTTATTTTAAGCTCTCCCTTTAAACATGCATGTAATTGTGAGATCTTGTTCTTTATAGATCTCAGCCAAAATTACAGATGACTACTACAAATCAAACACATGTAACCACAAGTAACGCTTATATTATAAATTTGCTGTTCCTTAGACTGAATGCAAGATCTCAGTTGTTTTCTGTCACTACTTCATGATGACCAATTTCATGTGGCTGCTAGTAGAGGCTCTTTACCTAAACTGTCTACTACTTTCTTCACTTTCTCATGGAAGAAGATATTTTTGGTGGCTTGTTCTCTTTGGCTGGGGTAAGTAAAGCTTTTACATTAGATTAATAAAAGCCAAGATGTTAAACAAGGTTCCCATTAAAAATACTGGGTGTGGAATCTAATCTGCCCAACTGAAGTGCCTACCTTGGCCATTACTTTGACTTTATTTTTACATGTGTACTGGTGAGGAGCAATCAAGATTTTTAAAGTATGGCATTAAAGTTCCTATGAGATAAGTGGAAAATTAAGTACACTTGAGAACCCACAGAGGGTGATTTAGTCCACTTAAACTTCTCCCAGTTGAAAATACAGGTATCTAAGGAGCTATCAAAAACAACAGTTAGGAACACATTGTACCTATTCATGCAAAGTACAGTTACACAGTCTTCATGTGAGAATGGGTCCCTCTGGAGTCATAGCAGGCATTTGTGTAGTCTTAATATTGCTATAGCCCATTTTTTGCTATGGGCAATTTTATGAATAAAGGAGCTCTATCCACTTAATAACAGTGCAGGTATGACACAGCAACACCCCACTCCTTTTTGTTGTAGTCTGAAATAAATCTAATTGTTTAGACCTTTTCGGTAACTTAAAAATCAGAAACTAAGTGGCTGCCAACATAGAGTTGCTGTGTCAAGCTAAAACCAGAAAATATGGCAGGTGAATGCACTTGCCCATGGGATTTTTTTGCTCAGTTCAGGGAGGCAATCATGCATTTTACCACCAAAGGCTAAGGTAGGCCTGGCAAATAAGGAAACTGAATCATTTTGGGTGTTTTAGGGAGACCTCAAGTGCCGTTTGAGGAAGAGTTAAGGTAGACTGCATTATATTCTGTGTTTGTAAAGTGCTAATATTACTATTATTTTAAGATTTGGTAAATGCTATTCCCCAATATTTTGTCATGCAAAAAAACCTTTATTAAATAAACCCAGGGTTTAATGTGCTATCTGCATGCGAGTGCCAACTTTATGCGAGATCATGCAGGTGAATTGCATTCATGTTAGTAAGAGGTTGTAAATTCAGGCCTCTGGCAGAAATACATCATGTACAAAGTGGCTTCTATGTCCCTTTATGTCTCCACAGTGATGCATGATCACCAAAGAGTTAATGTTGTAACTTGTTTCATTCCATCATGGCTATTAGGAGATTTATTTCTAGCTTTCCCCCCATTACATGAACAGGCCATAAAGGGCAGTTCCAGTTCTGAGAAAGAATTACCTATGTCATCACAGCAGAATTTCAGTGGAAAAGTTTTGGATTGATTGATAAAACTAGACAATCACAGTTTTTGTTTAAATGTCTGACAGGTTTTCCAATGCTTTTCACCCTTATATGGATATTAGCAAAAGTCTACTTTGAAGACACAGCGTAAGTCATTGTTTCCTACATTATTCTATACTCTTGTGTTATATTTCTAATTTATCCCAGTGATTGCATGCACATATTTTTCTAAACTTATTGTTGTTTTCTCAGATGCTGGGATATTAATCAAGGCTCTCCTTACTGGTGGTTAATCAAAGGACCTATTATAATTTCTGTTGGGGTAGGTACTTCTGAGTTTGCCAACATTAATTAGAAGAAAAAAACCTTAAAATCTGGTTAGTGTTTGCTGAAGTGTTGTTTAAAACAAGGAAAAAGAATGGTAAAATTTCTACTGTAAACTTGCCTATGTCCGATGCAAACTAAAAAGAGGCAGAGAACTGACAACCCCACAAAATAAATATCCTGAAAAAAAAATAATATTTTCATAAAATTGTTACTATGGTTGAAATTAATAGTAGGTGTATGGCTAAACCATCCTTATAATATTTGAAAGCAAAGTTTTAGCCTAAAAGTCCAGAATCAACCATGAATTTTAACATGAACTTTCCAAGTCAGTAAATTTCTGTTCATAGGTGGTAACAATGATAACTCTTGAGCCTGACATTTATTGAATAAGCTAATGAGCTTTAAATGATTATCATGTATGATTACTTCCGCATGTCTTTAAACCCAAGCAGTGTTCAAGGAAGCAGGTAATGGATGATCTTAAGGTCATCTATAAAAAGCTCAATTTAATCGGAGGACAGATACATACAAATAAGGCATATATACACAAACAAGGTAAATGAAGAATCTCCAGTCGAATTCTGGTCATAGTGTGTCATATATCAACAAAATATTATATTTCCTTCTATTACCATTATTTATTTCACTACTAGTACTCATCTAACATTCACATCTGAAGTGAAGTGATTCAGGGGTTTGCAGTGATGATTTTTCTGCTGGAGTGTACTTGAGGCACCACTGCTGGATAAAAAGAGATTGGACTTTCTGGTAAAATGTGGTAACATTGTTAGGCAAAACTAAGCATTCAGGCTCAGCTAAGAGCTGGTGTGTACAGACACACAAAAATGCATGGGGAGAAACTCTCTAATTGTGGAAAACTGAGCAGTTTCACAGACTTTAGTAAGGCTGTGCCGAATTGCAGTTGTAGAAAATTTGCAAGATAGGATTAACCCTACCTAGCTTTGGAGCTAAGCTAATGCTCCTCAGTTCTCTTTAGAGTCAATAAAGAGAAATATGCACTGTTGGTATGTGATTCGTCTGACTTACAATAGATGCTGCCTTCAGAGGAGGTGATTCATCCCAAACCCCACCTGGGGCTGCATTGGCTGTGCTGGCTGACTCTCCATTGACTACAAAGGGAGAACAGGGTGATTAGCTCTGATGCAGGCATCTAGTTGTACATACCTATATTTAGTCAGATTAATTCTATTAATAATATCTAAAGATAGTACCCATTATTTAATACAGCAATCATCTCAAAAGAGATTCAAAATTATATGAGCTACAGAAAATTAAAAAATCACACATGCTATTGACAAAAGTAATTTCCTTAACAAAGTCAAATTCTCAAGTTTTCATCTTCAGCTGTCTCTCTAAGAAAGAATGAAAACTATTCAGATGTTTGAATGCTTTCAACAGGAATTACATTGATAATTTTATACTGATCTCATTGAAACTGCACAAACTGCATAATAACTGAAATTAAGCACCCAGAATTTTGTTGCAAAGTTTTACATTGGGAAGTAATCTTTTCTTTTCTTTCTCTCTTTCTTTTTTTTTCTTTTTTTTTTTTTTTTCCCAAATATTGTGAACAGGTCAATTTTGTCCTATTTATTAACATCATCAGAATTTTGCTGAAAAAACTAGACCCTAGGCAAACCAACTTCAATAACTCTTCTCAGTACAGGTAGTGTATGGAAGAATAATTAAAAACCCAATTATTTTAATAATAAAAGCGTATATCATCTTTTCCAAACAGAGAAGCACTTGTGTAGTGCCAAAGGCTTAGTTTGGCTAGCATTAAATTTTAGAAATTCACAATCTTATCCCATTCCCAAGAAAACTAGTCAAAGGATGAAACTCATCTTACTTAATATTTGCCATCTAAACATGATGAGTTCAGATGTCTGCCTTCCAATTACAGTTAATGGGGACACTACGAAACCTGTAACTGAATCCATATTAGACCTCTGATGTAGGGCAGGATAAATTACCCTCTGTAGATCTCCTTTCCTGTACTTGGACTATAAGTGGAGGCTGTGTGTTACTTTATTTGTAACTATTTTGTTACAAATAAACATCAAATTTTCAGCGGAATTGATAAGTCAAAATATGTTCTAGTTCTTTGTGTTTTCCTGAATAATAATCTCATTCAGAAAGACAGAATGCCAAAATACCACTAAAAAAGCCATGAACATGGTATAGACAATAAGGCAATGAGCACCAGAAATCTATTTCTAGCTTGTTTCTCATTATGCTTTCTGCCTGGCACTGTATTTCCAACAGATATGAGCTTCACTTGTAAATATTCAGTTCCTCTTTTTAGCTTCTGCTCATTACTGTGGCATATCACATGCCTTAATTTTTACTCAGCAAAATAATATTACCTTACTTCTTCTCATGTCCTAAGCTAGACGTCTCTCAAGGTCAACTCTGCTTCTAATTCCATTATTTGGAACCCATTATATTGTCTTCAACTTTCTTCCGGAATACACCAGCCCAGGGGTTCGGCTTTACTTAGAGCTCTGCATTGGATCTTTTCAGGTAAAATGACTTCAGAGGCTTCCTTAGATTTTCTAAGTTAATCTTGTAATACTAGTGTCCACATGACAACTAGTATTACACAAAAATATACTGGATCCTGAAGGTAGTGTCTCATTACAGAATTGGCAGTTTTTTGCTGAGTTATGATATCTGAAGATGTGACCTATGTTCTACCTGCCTGTAGGCTAGAATATATATTTACAAATCCTGCAAATACAAGACCAAGTCTTTCAGATGCATGTGTAAATTGGGTGATGGGTTGAAGTCGAGCATGTAAAAACTTCTTTGCTACGAGTGACAATCCACATAAATTCTCTGACTTCACTAATAAGATCAAGGTGATTTGGGCTGGAGTTAAACTATTCAGGGGCAACAGAAGCCGTAGGTACAGCCTCCTTGCTGATTCTTTGTCAATGAGTAAATTGATAGGCAAACATCTGAAACTCAAATAGTGCCTGGTATACACATCAACCCCATACAAACTACTGCCCCTAGGAATGCCCCATGAGTTTTCCTTCTGGGTAACCAAAATATTTTGAATGCCCCCAACTGGTATGAGTTGGCACACAGAGCATGGACAACTTGAGGAGGTTGGTGGCATCCAGAACAGCTACTGGGGTTGCTCTGACAGACCCTCCAGGTGGCTGTGCTACCTGAGTTATGAGGAAGGCATCACTCAGTTGCCCCTTGCTTTCCTCCCTTTCCCTGGGCTGTGCCTCAGAGTCTTCAAGAAGCAGCTGTGGACAATCCTACCAAACTTCAAAGACGCATACCTCCCTCTGAATGGTTGGATGGCATCATTTGCCAGAATTCATCGCCAAAAATCCAGCAGTTATGCTGGTATCATCTCCTTGAGGATTTAATCCATTTTGGCAATCCTGTCCAATAAAACCCTGAACATCTCAATCCTGACCCTCTGTACCTGGAGCTGGCCTTCATTTTGTTAATTTACATTGTAAGAAATAAGTTAACTGAATAAAAAGGTGAGGGGTCTAGCTGATATCTGATCACATAGGTCCACTGACCCCCTACAATTTTCCTGGGTTTATCTCAGTTCAAAATCTGAACAAAAGTATTCAGTAGGCCATAATTTGATCTCATACTGCAAAGACACAGAAGTTGACTGAAAGCCGTATGAGCTCCATACATGGACCTCCTTATGGACTCTGTTTCCTTACTGATTTACACCATGTAGAGAATTAGATCACAGTGTGTTTGGCCATAGAATGGACCATACTTTTGTAAGCATAATGTGGGAGAATGTCAATTGACATATTATATGTTATTGTGAATGCATATCATCTTACTGACTTCGGTGAAATGCCACTACCTAGCTGATTATCTGGCTGAGCAGATTTACTGGAGATAAAGATGGAGCAGATTTACTGGAGCAGATTTACTGGAGATAAAGAATTTTCCGATTTATAACAATTCTCCAACATACAGTGATACTCATCCCAAAGTCAGCCAGTGCAGGAGGCTTTTTTAAACTGTGCTAATATTCAACACTTCTATGTTTTGGTTGGTTTGTTTTGTTTTTTTCTTTTTCAGGGGTTTATTGTAGCAGTTCTTTACTGTTTCCTGAACCAAGAGGTAAGGATAAGGAAACTATATTCTTTACAATGTTGCTTTTGATGGCAGATACATAGAGTTAATAATCAGTTTCATACAAGCAGATAATAAAATCTTTTAGTTCTTAGGATTGTCTGTTAATGTGGGAATCAATGAAGATGAATTTAATTTCAATTATCTTCATGGGAATGAAGCCATCTAGCGGAGAAATGAGGTTTTACTACTTTGCTATTCCATCAAGTATTTTTTTTTTTTAGCATTATTTTAGCCCTTCTGCACATTTCTGTACTATAGCAGGGACTTGGAAAACCCATGTTAGGTCCGGATCTGAAAGTACAAGCTGCTGTAATGGTGCAAAGAGATCCCCATTTACTAAAAGTCTATGATTAAATTGGAAAGAATTTAAATTTATGCTGATTGCTCAATACTGAAATATTAGTTATTATTTTTTTTAATATGCTCATGAAGCTTCCCAGTATTACTTTATGTTGATAAATCTGATTTTACATTTTGAATATGTAAGTCAGAATTTTACTGTTAATGGGACAGGAATGATTTAATTTAGCTTAGTCTCCAGATCCAATTATATAGTCTGGATGTTATGGTAAGAATGCACCTTAAATGAATTATATAAGAAGAAACAGTTTATCCTCCATATTTTAGAATGGGTTGGAACCCTGAAATTTCCCTCTCTTTTCTGACTACAGGGTAGCTGAGATGGCTATTTTAGAGTATGACTGAGATTCAGTTTCAGGCTACACTGAAAGTCTGCTGGTTTCTACCTGCAGCTCCTAAAAAAGGAGAGTTCTGATTCATATATACCATTCTACAGGGCATCCCCTAGTGTCAAAGGTATGTTTAAGCTGTGAATCCTACCCCTAGTCATCCCAGTCAGTGAAATTCAAATGACCAAGTGCAGTTGTTTGTGTTAGAGGTAGCTGACCCATTTTAGACTCCATGGGCTGTATTGGCTAAATCTCTATTTTCCAAGTTTAAAGTCTAGGGCTGATTCAGGTTTCAAACAGTATTTAATTGTCTACTTCTGCCATGGTCCATATTTTACTTAATTTTGTCAGGAATTTCTGAAATACTCAAAAAAATCATCTTCAAGTATAGTAACCTTCTTAGCCTTTTGGATTAGTTTATGGCTATGAATTGTTGATGTCTCTAATGATGCTTGTGTTCAGTTAATATTCTTGTTAGTTAGTCTATTAACAATCCTAATCTCTCCTGATGGTAGACCATGGTTTTACTTACATGCAGCTTGACACCTCAGACACACAGCATTTCATATAGAAATTTCCTTCATATTAAACATCTGGGAAGACACATTTCTAATAGGAATCAGATGTGAATGCAGATTAGGGCTTGCCTGGACCCACTGTGTGTTTCTGTGAACATGCCAATAAGTAATTTATCACAGCATAGTCATAGAATGGTTAGGGTTGGAAAGCACCTTAAGATCATATAGTTCCAACTCTCCAAGCCATGGGCAGGGACACCTCACACTAGACCATGTCACCCAAGGTTCTGTCTAACCTGGCCTTGAACACTGTCAGGGGTGTGGCATTTACCACTTCTCTGGACAACCTGTTCCAGTTTATATATATATATATATATATATACACATAAATAAATATATATATATAAATACATATATATATATGTATCTGCCAACAACAGAAAGAAAATTTCTTCTGATTGCTAATGGCTTTCCACCCACCATCTTAAACACCAAAGTAGTATTATTTCTCAGCTTTAAATTGGTGAATGTTAGTTAAGAAACTTGCAGATTATACTTTTCTAGAAGCAGGTGGAAACAAGACAAACATCCTTTAGCAAATGAGGGAGAGCAAGGAATGTGGAGTGAATGTGTTTAATTGTGTAAGCAATGTTAGTGAGATCATTACTAGAATACATTTTCAAAGGCATATTTAAAATAAATGGGAGAAGATATAAAAAAATCCTGAGAAAATATTCCAGTGGTGGAGAAAATGCTTTACAGTGCTAGAGGTAGAAATCTCAAAGTCTTCCCATTTCTCAGAAGAAGATTGAGGTGATGTGACTATGCATAAATATATCAAAATGTAACTACTTTGATGGAAGAAAATTTCTTATTGTTAATAAACTTTTCAGTTCAGTAGAGGAAGGGGAACTGAGGACTACCAGGTAGAAACTGAAAAAGGTAAGTTAAAAACGGAAGTGAGACTGTCTTCATCTATTTAACTATGTGACAGGCTTAATAATTAGCTTCAGTTGTTGGGCCCATGGTCACTAACTAGGAACACAGAAATCACCAGACCCATATAAAGTATGTCCTTACTTCTTATAAGGAAGAATGGAGTTTATTTAATCTTTTCAGTGTTGGAGGCTAACTCTGAGCTAGCCACACCTGATGTTTTCATCAGTGCAGAAGGATCATCATGTTGAGACAGGTCAGATGAATCATACTCTGGAGGATCCTACTTTTCTCTGCTAGCTAGAAAGACAGCCCAATGGACTGAGAAGTCTAAATGTTACCTTTTTTTTTTAGCACGTTTTAGTCTTTCCTCTTTCCCATCAGTCTACTCCCAAGCAGTATTTGACCACAAAATTGCATTCCTCTTTCCTTTTGAGGTCCAAACGGAAATTGGACGGAGGTGGCATGGTAAGAAATATGGACTTATGCCAGTGTGGAGAAGGACGAGATGGACTGTGCCATCCAGTTCTGGAGTAAAAATGACCACGTCTGTGTGCTAAAGATGGCCTCAGGATCTGGAGTAATCATATATAAAAGCCTAATTAGGAAAAAAAAGTAACCAACCAACCAAACTAAAAAACCCACCAAACATAATAATTGCAGTTTATACTGAGCAAGTTGGAGGAAGGTCCCTTCCACAGCAGTTTTTTTTCCACTAGACAAGCATTTCAGTGACAGATTAAACACTGACTGACCTTCTAAACATAATCAATATATTATGCATCACAGCAAACACAAATATCAACTCTTATTGGTTCACTTCCTGTACACTTTCACTGATGAGCCATACATAATATAATGGCATAATGTGTCTAGAGAGTGGACACCAATAGTACCCTCCAATGACACCACAGATGACCAGCTCTGATAACTGGAATTCAATCCTCATGCAATGGGAGATGGAGTCTACACAGCTTGTTCAAACTTTGTCCCTTGTTTTAATTCAGTAGAAATGCAAATAAGAAACCAAATGCCCTGTTAAACAATAGCACATTGACTAAAAAGTCCTCCGATATTGTCATTTTTTTGTCTCTTTAAAAGTTTCAAAGTTCACAATAAAACACAATGCACTTTTATGTTCTAATGTTATTTCAGTAGCTGCATGTTAGAGAATTTTTGATACCAAAGTAGCAGTAAGTAGAAGTGTTGGGAAGGACAAGGCTCTCTAAGATAATAATTGAGGAATTACTGCCTTTTGCAAGTAAGTTGAAAAGCAAACTTTTGCACAGAAAGAGAATGAGACCCATGGGGGATGGAATAGGCCATTGCTAGGAGTACTGCTAAGCACTTTCTTATGTGTTAATGTTTTTGCTCTCCAGTGCTGTAAAACATGCAGAAGCTTGAAAATAAACTCTAGTTCCCAGTATTTGTATGTGAAGGCTTTGCTTATTTGGTTTGCTTTTGTTTGCTTTTTCCCCAATGGTTGTTGTGACCTGTAGATTAATGGTTTGATAAACCTTTCTGATGAAAACATCTGGGCTTGGAAGGGGGTAAAGAAAGCTAAACTGGACCAAACAGTAAGGACCATTACACCAACACACTTTCACTCTGCCTTTCTGGCCATTCCAGTGAGCTGGAAAATCCTATTAAACAACAGAAATTATAACATACAGAAGTGGACTTCCCTTCCTTTTTCTTTTGCTGTATCCAGGTAATTGCAGCTAACCTGAAGAAGTGGAATGTTATGTCATCTAATTTTCATATAAACAAGATGAAGGTTTCTATCAGCTAGAGTGGAGTCCAGAGTAATAGCTTAACTAATATGTCTAAATTTTACTCATCTCTACTCATACATGCTTAGATAGAAAATTTCCTACAGCTGTTGCATTTCTGTTGTATAATTAGGCTTATTAATAATCTGTGAAGTGGCAAAATTACTCTGGAGACCATCATGCTCCGGAACTGGAAGATAAAAGAAGAAGCAATAAGAAAGAAATAATTTTTTTTTTCTTCTGTTGAACAGATCAACCTCGAAGTAGGGGGAATACTTTTCTGTGGGATAGCTGAAACTGGAAACAGAAGTGGCTAAAATCAGAAGATGTCACTCTTGTTACTATATCAATAGCAGTTATGACTAGGCATGATGTGGATATTAAGGTCACATTACATATTTAGCAAATTCAATCTTGAATATAAAGTGTTAAGCACAATTTAAAAACTTAAGTAATTCAGATTTTCAGGAAGTGAACTGCATTGAATTCAGATAATTTTTACTGAGCTCAACACTAACGTAAGAGCATGTGCACACTTATTGCATAAGATCATGTTTCTGCAAATTCGTGCCTGTCACATGCAAAGTTTGATAAAATAAGTATGAAAAGTGTGAGTAACAGAAACTCCTTAACCTTTGAAGAATAAATTTTGCTAAGTATGATTTACTTTCGTTTGGAACGGGGCCAAAGCAATGGAAAACTGACCTGATGATAAAGAATCACTCCCAGGGTGTGCAAACTGCTAAAGGGTTTACACTGCAATAAGTCAAGACAGAAGTAAAATATAGCTTCCATGTGTGACAGCTGTGATTCTCCGTGATCAGGACAAACAGCTAGAACCACACCATTAAATTATGAGTAAGATTCACCTCTAGCTGTAGTAGGTAAACAAGGTTAAGAAATTATGAAAGGGTGAGACAGTGCCTCCCCTGTTCTGCCCAAGCACAAGCTTTATTTTCATAGCTCAGATTGATTTCCAGCCAGATAAAGTTCCTTTATCCAATGGACTGTATCTGCATGAATGCTGGTATATATGAGTGTGGTACCAGCATATAGGAAATTTTAGAAACACCTTTTTTGCTAATAGCATTAATTTTAAGAGATTTTAGAAACTATATGAGCATCCACACCTAATCCACACTGAGTGCACTAAGAGGTTAAAGATTTTCTCCATCTCCTTACTGAACTGCTAAAAATAATGTGTAAACCAGAGCACTGCATCCAAATCAACTTGATCAGAAAAAACATGATATTCTCTTTATATTGTGTTAGCTGTGCTTTTCTATTCAGTAGGGTCTAAAGTAACAAGGTAAAATTTTGTAAGGCAACATGAAAAGTATTTTAAGGGAAAATGAGCAGTGCCAGTCTGGAGGCTGGAGGTTTTTCCTTAGAAAGTTCCATCACTCCATACACGATACTGAAAGCCTTGACAGGTGTGCAAAGTTTGCATAGGTTCAAGACAAGGTCAAAGAAATAACTGAAAATTTGGAGAATGACAGAGATGCAAGTGGGTTGGAACCCAGCTAGGTCTCAGGGCAGAGTATACATCTATCCTATGCTTGCACTCTTCCCAAGGTGTGAGTTTTGGCCACCATCATTGATGAATGTATAGGCTGCTCTGGTGGATGAACAAACAGTGCTGGTCAGAAAGTTGTAAAGTGAACTTTCAAGGAAAATACCTGCCACCTTTTTCAGCAAAAAAAGTTGTGTTGCAAAGCACACATGCTAGAAAATAAGCTGTGAGGGTGGATTAAAATGCCGTATTATTACTCTGAAACAGACCAAATTCTCGTTAGTTGGGAATGAAACCCCTTGGGTGGTTTTCCACTGAGGTGAGAAGGAAGTCACAAACTGCTTAAGAAACAGGGGGCAAGACAACCTCAGTATTACTTTATCCCACTTCTTGTGAGGACATTATAGTTCTGTCCTCAGTTTCATTCCTGTCTAGGCTGCTTTATTTCTTATGACCTGTTATCCAGTAATGAGGCTATTTAACCTACAGATTATAGGTTAGTTCTCTGTTATTCCCATATGTAATCTTCATATATTTATTTTGGTCTAAAACCACATCACGACTCCACTAGATGGCAGCCAGGATCTTCACAGATCTCCCGCTGGAACGGGATTATGTTTTTTGACGGATTCCCTTGACACATACCAATTACAATGTTCCATTCAGTGGATGACTTATTTCACCGTCTTTCCAGTGACACTCTCAGCATTCAGAATAGCACCAATGGACTTCACTACTCATCCTATAGCCAGGACATGATGTTTCTTTCCCTTTCAGCTTGCCTGGTATTGCTGAAATGACCATAAAGGCACCTGGTGGCCTCTCTGCAGAGTAGTTATATATGTTTACACTGGACATACCAAGGCCAACGAGCCCTTGAAGCCAGCCTGTCAAGGCTTTTCTAAGTTGTGAGACTGTAAGTGTGGATTCAGGCATGGATGTAGCTAATACTCATCTCTGAGCGTAGTCCACAGGCTCCTGGACCACCAAACATGACTGGAGAACAGCTTGCAAGCTGTTGGGAAGGCTACTGTTGACTGGAAGCTATGTGGGATATGTATCATTTCACTTTTGCAGCCATGCTGGTGGAAGCATCTGGGAGGATATGAACTTCTGTGGGGCTATTCCCTCCCATTTGGACAGATGACAGAGAAGCAGGCAGATGGCAAAGTTGACAAAGCAAAGGCTGACTCATTTGGCTCTATCAGTGCATTGGAGCTAGTGTCTGAGTGAAACCAACTCCTGCCAGAAGCTGGGTTCTTTCAAGCTACAACCCATCAAGAAGCAAATGTGGATTCAGTGCAAAAGCCTGTGTTTGAGCTACAGGCAGCAGTATTGTTCCAGTTGTATAGAGCTCAAATCAAAATTTAAAATCCACTTCAGATACCAAGAAAAAAAATGCATTAAGTGCTGATATGGGCTAAGTGCCACAGATGCTTAGCTGTTTACAGTTGTAGAAAACTCGTTTGTGGGTGTTCCCATGGTAGTTCAGTCACTTGGTTGTGACAGTTCTCAGTGCAGTTGTACTCAGCTCAAAAATTATATGGGGGACCTTTTTTTAGTATTGTAACAAAATATCAATTGCTTCCTGCCTTTATTTTGGTTTACTATGGCATTTATGGTATGTTAATACTTTATAATGGATTTTAGAAAGAAAACCTTGAAGGCTTGTAGTGACCTCAGTATGAGTTTTGGTAAAAGGGCTAGACCTGAAATGCAGATGGATTCCGATTCTGGTAGGTGGTTGTATAGCTGTAGGGTTCTTTTATAAATAATGCTTTTATTGGGTTTTTGTGGATAGCTGAAAGAGGAAGAATGAATAAAAAGAAAATTTTACAGCTAAATGTATGTTAATAGAATTATTTCCCACATACCACCATCACAGATTACAGAGTTGTCATATTTTATGTGACGGATTAAAACATGCCATTCCCCTTCTGACTGAAAATAGCTTTTTCACTTTCCTTCTGATAAAGAAAAGGCTGCAACAATGAAGGCACTGGAAACATCATCTTTCTTTTTATTTTATAACCAGGGATAGATGGAATATTTTGGAACGTAAATATTTTGTTGAAATATTAACATTTTAATACAGATTTTTACAGTCTCTCTAATGTTTCTGGAGAGACATGGTATTCTCAGATAAACGTCTACACCAGCTGTGCAAACGAGCTCAACCTACTCACATAGTTAATGCTGCACACATACTTAAGTCTCTTCCTGGAATAGACTAACCATATTAATACAAAGCATGGGATTATTTTTTTTTTTATCTTTGTTGATATAAAATTGGCTGTAGTACCTTTAAGCAGGAAATGCAGACAACTACCACCATTAAAAAACACTTTATTGTCAACCTATGGTGCTCCCTTTTGTTGACCATCTC